TTTTTTTCTTTCTTAGCGTTTCATACAATAATAGTATGCCATAATCGATGGCATCTTAGAATCTGTGAAATATGTTATTAAAATATACTTGAGACTAGTGTAAGGTCACAGTTACCACTGTTTGAAAAAAGGATTGTATTAAAGAAGTTTCTTTTTCAAATTAACAAAAGTAGATTAAAAAGACATGTACAGAAATGTTCATGGTAGTTTCATTCAAAGCAGCCAAAAAATAGAAACAACCTTAAATATCCATCAACAGGAGGATGGATAAATAAATTGTGGTATATTCATATAAGAAAATACTTTACAGCAATAAGAAAAGAAACAAATGAACTGCTGATAACATGTGACGACCTGGATGACTTGTGGATGAATCTCACAGATATTGTATTGAATGAAAGAAGCCAGGCATAAAAGAATACATAGTATTTATCCATTTACATAACCTGATGAACAGGAAAACCTAATTGATGGTGATGGAAATCAGTTTTGTAGTTGCTTTGCTGAGCGGACCCTTCTGGTATGCTGGCAGCATTCTGTATCTTGCTATGGGTGTTGGTTAAGAGTAGTACATTTTATGTATGTACTGTAAGCATGCGGTATAAACAAAGGTGATTTGTGTTAGGATAGGAAGGGCAATGGGAACCCTAACCCATTGCCATCAAGTTGGTTCCAACTCATGGTGACCCCATGTGTTACAGAGTAGATCTGCTCCATAGGGTTTTCTTGGCTGTAATGTTTATGGAAGCAGATTACCAGGCCTTTCTTCCATGGCAACCACTATGTGGCTTCAAGCTACCAACCTTAGGGTTAGTAGCCGAGTATAAACTGCGTGCGCTACCCACGGACCGTAATGAGGACTCTAACTATGAGGAAATGATACCCTAATATAACTTTTTGTATGTGCCAAGTTGTATGCAGGTTGTGGTTGTGTTATTTTCAGAGAATGTTATTTTTTCATGAGACCTACAAGGCTAAAGCTGTATATCCATAGGTTAAGGGCAGGGTTTTCTTTGAAAAGAGTAGTTGTTTCCAGTGTTCTAAATCTGAGCATGAGCCCCAGATATGTGCAGACTTACATGTTCATGCTTTGCTCAGCGTATGTACCAGTTAGTGGTCTAATTTTCTTCTTTTGTTCCTCCTCTTCTTTTCCAACTAAGTCTTCAATCATTGACTTATTTAGAGTAATTCATTGACTCAAATATTTACTGCATCCGAATATTTTCTGTGCACTCTGTTAGGCACTGGAATACAAAGAGGGGGAAGACATGGTCTATACCTTTGAAGAGCTCTTGTTATAGCTCGCATAATCACAGTAATTGATTAGTGCTTTGAAAGGGCTGTGATTAATACAGATGAGGAAGTGACTAACTCTGAGGATGTAAGGGAGGTTTCCCAGAGGAGATGACGTTTGAGCTGGATCTTATAGGGTAGATAGACTACCAGGCAAAGAATGAAGGAATTGGCATTCCAGGCAGAGGAAATAGGATATCCAAAGGATTGGCAGACCCAAGTATAGTATGTTCAAGTGAGCTTTTTTTACTAGGGTACTTTGCTGGCTCTCTGCAGCCCTTTGTATTATTCAGATTTTGCCTGCACACATTTAAAGCCCTCTACCAGTGGGCTCTTAACCATTTATATTCCATTTCTTCTTTCTCCCGTTCACTCTATTTGCTTAATGCTAAAGGATCTACTTTCAGTCATCTTTGTCCAAGAGCTCACACATTAATTATTGAACCGCTTTCAGGTTGAAGTAGCCTTCCATTCCTCTTTATTAGAAGAAAACTTTTAACACAAAACCAAACACCAAACCAAACCCATGGCTGTCAAGTCAATTCCAACTCATAGCGACCTTATAGGACAGAGTAGAATTGCCCCATAGGGTTTTCAAGGAGCAGCTGGTAAATTTGAACTGCCGGCTCTTTGATTAGCAGCGGAGCTCTTAACCACTATGCCACCAGGACTCCTTTAACACAAAGACCTCCTCATATCTCACTTCCTATGTGAAATCTACTGAGGATTAGTTAGTTGGGTGAGGTTATGAGCTCGTTCCAGTTTTTTCCTTATTTAATTTCTGTTAAGTGGCCCGATGAGAAAATAGGATGAATAAAGATTAAAAATTAGACAGTTTAAACATTCAACTACATATTATAATACACAGTATTTTGTTTGTTTGTTTTATATAGTACATATAGCTCTGATTGCCAGGCCCTTTGTTCTCAACGCCCAGTGAAGCAGTGGGTTTAGCTGCATTCGCTGGCCCTGTAGTAGGAGCTGTTGCTAAGGATGAGTTGGCAGACCACAGTCTTGTGTGCAGAGTTGTTTTGGACAGGCCATGATTCAGGCCAAACTCAGAGCAGGAGCTTACTCTTCTCCTGCTTAAGCGGCTCAGTCACCTGGGGCGGGAGGTGCAGCACCTGCTTTACTGGCTAGGCGACATCCCTAGAGAAGGCAACATGATATCATTCATGGGTCAGGAAGCCATAGACTAACTCACCAAGAGGGAATACTTGAAGCAGACAGTGATTTTCTGTTCTGGAATATATTCCTGGGCCCTCTGTGTGATTGTTACCCTGCTAGTGAAATTACAGATCATGAACCTGTTACAGAAAGTGAAAGAGCAGAAGCTGAGCAGTAACACATAGTAAACATTCAATAAATGTTAGCTGTTGTTATTATCAGAAGCCATCACATAAGTCTCCACTGCACCTTAGATACAGGAGAATTTTGGTTTACAACTTTTTATTCTTTAGTAAATATTTATTAAGCATCTATGTGCCAGGCATTGAGTATATATTAGTGAATGAAGCTGTCAAGGTTTTTGTCTTTGTAGAAATTATTAGCATGATGAAGGGAAACACAAAAGTAAGTAAATAAATATTACATTAAAACAACCAACTCTAACTATTTTGTTCTGTAAACCTTCATCTAAAGTGAGACTAGCAGCACAACTGGAAAAACGTAATCGATGTCACTCAGCTGTGCATGTAGAAATTTTTGAAATGGTATATCTTTGGCTATGTATATTTTCACCAAAAAAAAAAAGGTCGAGAAGGGAGAGGGTTGACATGTCGTGGGGTTGTTAACCAATGTCATAAAACAATAGGTGTACTGACTGTTTAATGAGAAACTATTTGTTCTATAAACCTTCACCTGAAGTACAATTAAAACAAAACAACCAACTCAGTTGCTGTTGAGTCAGCTCTGACTCAAGGCAACCCTCTGTGCTCTGTTGGCTTTTCCGTGGCTGATTTTTTGGAAGTAGATTGCCAGGCTTTTCTTCCAGGGCACCTCTGGGTGGACTTGAACCTCCAGCCTTTTGGTTATCAGCTGAGCACCTAACCATTTGCACCAACCAGCAGTGCTAAATGTTATATTACATACTGTGATATGAGCTATAAAGGAAACAAGCATGAAGTATACTGAATGATAGGGTGGGCAGGCAAGACCTTTCTGAGAAGGTAACATTAAATTGAGACAGATAAGGTGAGAAGGACTCAGACATGCAATTATATAGAATTGTAGGGATTGTTGTTGTTGTTGTATGTGTGTACAGGAGAGGGAGGGATCGAGGGTGACTTTCGGGTTTCTGGCTTGAGCAGCTGGATGGAAGTGATGCCACTAATAAAGAAGGGAAGAGTGAGGGAGGATGAGTTTGGGGTGGAAGTTAGGAAGAGAGGCATGGATGGGAATTGAGAGAGAAGTTTTAGATGTGTTTGGTTTGAGAAGCTTATGAGATACATAAGTAGATTTTTCAGTTGAATATAGAAATCTGAAGTTTTGGGCAGGGATGTGCATTTGGAAATCATTAGCCTCTAGATGCTATTTAAGACCATAGACATGGATGTGAACAGGGAGAGAAGGAGTGCTCAGGAAAAGTCTTTTGGGAGTGATAGCATTTAGGAGAGGAGAAATAGGAACAAAGGAACTGTCAGAGAGTTAAGAGAAAATTTAAGATGTTCTGTAAAACCTGTGCTCTTACAGATTGCACTGGGGGTATGAGAAGGCCCGAGAGCTTGGCCCCGACACTCTGCCTTGTGGCGTGGTCCTTCACGTCAGTCACTTGTTGTACACTATGATCTTGCTGACAGGATGTGGGGGAGCACTTGATTCTGCTAATTCTAGATCTTAAACTCTTTGGGGCAGGAACTGTGTTTGTTTTGATTACCATTGAATGCTGTATACCTGGCAAAATTTTTTGGATGTTACAAATTCCGATCTGCCAGTCATGCTCCTGGGTATTTACCCAAATGAGTTTGAAAGCTTATGTGTACTCAAAAACTTACAAATGAACTTTATAGCAGCTTTATTCATAATTGCCAAAAGGTGGAAGCAAGCCAGAAGACCTTCAATAGGTGAATGGATAAACTGTGGTCCATCCATCCAATTGGATATTACTGAGAAATAAGAAGAAATGCACTGCCAAGCCACGAAAAGACTTGGAGGGACCATAAATGCATATTGCTAAAGTGAAAGAAGGCAGTTTGAAAAAGCTACACACTGTATGATTCCAGTGGTGTCCAGGTTCCGGAGATGGGGAGAGAGGATGACTGACTAGGTGGAACATGGGATTTTTAGGGCAGTGAAACTCTTCTGCATGATACTGTAATTGTGGATACGTGACATTATGTATTCCTCAAAAAGCCATACAACTGGACAATACAAACAGTGAACCCTATTATAAATTAAGGGCTTTAGTTTAAAATAATGTATCAATATTGGTTCATCAGTTGTAACAAGTGTACCACACTAATACAAGATGTTAATAGTAGGGGAAACTGTGTGTGTGGGGCGGGGGGGAGGATGCGTAGGAACTCCCTGTACTTCCGCTCAGTTTTTCTCAAAGACTAAAACTGCTCTAAAAAACAAAGTCTATTAATTAAAAAAAAAGTTTCCAGGATAGCAGTAGTGTTAATTTGTAGGTACAGCTATTTAGGTTTGTGTGACTTTAAAAAAGGCTAATTGATTTTCTTTTCTTTATGGTTTTCCTACTCAATCAGGTTTTCAAGCTAGAAATGCTCTTCTTCAGTCAAATCTTTCTCAAACTCAGCTAGCTACTATTTGGTGAGTTTGTTGTTTAATTACAATTTTTAACTATACATCTTCTATTATAAGAAAGATACGTTGTTGTTGTTGTTGCCATCAAAGTTGATTCGGACTCATGGCAGTATAGTTTCTGTAAAAGTTTGTGACTCAAAGATGCTCCATGAAAGCAGCCATTTGAAAGTTAACGTGACCTTGAAAGCAAATGTAATTTTGCAGAATTGTGCTTGAGAATTTGATGTTCAATTGTTTTACAAATGAAACTGTTATTTGCTTTTATATAATGCCTTCTGTGGAGAATCAGGGAGCCCTGGTGTCACAGTGGTTAAGAGATTGGCTGCTAACCAAAAGGTCAGCGTTGGAATCAACCAGTCACTGCCTGGAAACCCTGTGGGGTAGTTCTACTCTGTCCTATAGGGTCACTGTGAGTTGGAATCAACTCCACGATATTTCCCTTTCTATTTCAGAAGCTTTTTCTCTCTTCCTTGTGATGTAAAAATTAAGGGTAAAAATTAACTCACTTTTCTGTATCTATTTACATGTCACTAAAATATGTTAGCCCAGCTGTTTTGTCATCATTGTTCTTATTGTAAAAAATAAAATATTGAACTCTTCTGAAAATATTTTACTCCAAATAGCCTTTCTTTCTCTTGTAAGTTCTGAATTTTTTAATTTTCTCTAGGACTCTGGCTGACATTGATGGTGATGGACAGCTAAAAGCTGAAGAGTTCATCCTGGCGATGCACCTCACTGACATGGCCAAAGCTGGACAGCCACTACCACTCACTTTACCTCCTGAGCTTGTACCTCCATCGTTCAGGTCAGTGTCTCTGGAGGTGAAGAGGTGTGGTTTTTATCACTTGACAGATGTGATTATAACTTTAGAATTTCCTGAGGCCTGAAGCTTGGATTAGAGGAGAGTTAAATGTTTACACTGCCATCTGATCTTAGTATTTAATGAGTTACACTGGAAACGAGTATGTGTCAGAAGAAGGTGTGTTTTTTATCATTTTATAGGTAAGGAAACTAATTATAATAGAGTCTAATAAACTTTCCCGAGACCAGCATTAGCTGAATCACTGTTTGAATCCAGATCTGTCTGACTTAAGAACCCATATGCTGCTGTACGTTGTACTACAGACCATACTGTGTTTTAAATATCTCAAAATATCAAATTGCTTTAATCAGACTCTAGTCTCATCTGAACATTCCCAGACTGTATGATGCTAAATTTGTTTGTCGTTTGCTCTCCTAAGAGGAGGAAAGCAACTTGATTCCATTAATGGAACTCTGCCTTCGTATCAGAAAATTCAAGAAGAGGAACCTCAGAAAAAATTACCAGGTACCATTGAGTGTCTAAGTTGTATACTTATAGTGAGTTCTCTTAACTTTTACCTTGAAATGTAAATGAACTTTTTTAATTTTCACATTTTAAAATATTTTCTGTGCTATGCCAGATAAACTGTTTGATAGATGGGATGGATGTTGGCATGGATAAAATTTAGTCAGAATTATCAAGAACAGTATGAAGAAAGAAGAGACAGTGTGTGTTGGCACAACTGTAGCCATCGAAGTTAAACTGTTTCTCTCACTTTAGGTGGAAACATTAGAGTAAGCTTTGTGATTGCATCTTTAGCTTTAAACATAAATTTAAATATTGCTTGAAAAAGTACATATGCAGATTTTTAAAACATTAAAAAGTTAATGAAATAAATAAAACAAATATATAGCCACATGGCTTTTGTTGTGCTTAAAGAACATGCTGAGAAAAAAGTTGTAGAATTATTTTTATTGGTAGGAATAGTAAAAAATTTTTATTGGTAGGAAAAGTTTGGATTGATTTAAACTTAGATATTTGTTTTCCAAAAATGAATATTCTTATTAGAAAGTAAACATTTTCATATTCACTTTTGAGTTAAGATTATCCTTAAGAGAAGTATCCACAGGGTAATCGCACTCAGATGAATGCAAGGCATGAGGATGTTGAGACCAGATTATTGGTTCTTAATGTGTGAGAATGTGTACGATGTATCCTACTCAGTTACCTTTGAGGACAAGTGGAAAGCCAACTATGAGCGAGGAAACATGGAACTGGAAAAGCGACGCCAAGCCTTGATGGAGCAGCAACAGAGGGAGGCAGAGCGTAAAGCCCAGAAAGAAAAGGAAGAGTGGGAACGGAAACAGAGAGAACTACAAGAACAAGAATGGAAGAAACAACTTGAATTAGAAAAGCGCCTGGAGAAACAGAGGGAACTGGAGAGACAACGGGAGGAAGAAAGGAGAAAAGAAATAGAAAGACGAGAGGTGATTTTTGAATTATTTTCTAAGAAAATCATTACACTCAGTAAGTAACTGCATTTCACTTGATTAAAAAATGACTGTTTTTGAATTTTTGTTGTGCCTTTTCCTCTGCATCTTTCCATTCTTACTTATCCTATACAAATCTGAATCTTCTTCTTTGGTAGAGGGAAAAGGGCCCTTGCTTGTGAGAGGTTTTCAGGTTGATAGCTGGTAGAGAAAGCATCTTTTTAGGTGATAGCTCAGTCAGAGGCAGACTGATTGCAGAATTGAATTGAGTGAGGAATTAAGGTTAGTAAGCCAGAGAAAGGGGGTCAGTCCCAGCTGGTCATTAAACAAAGAATGCAAGCTTAGGACCCGGATTAAGAGGCCAAGGAATCACAGAGGCAGAAAAAGATGAGAGTGGGAAGTCAGAGGTCTAGAGAGGAATCAAGATGGTGGTCTTGTATAAGCTTTTGGGATAGTGCTGCGTGGGATCCCCAGGAGGACTGGGATGGAGCACAGTAAGTTATGGTGGCACTGAAATAATGTAAATAGAAGTTTTTTTCTTCCCTAATACCAGAATAGAAGTGTGATTATTTTTATTAACATTTATATTTGTGCTGTCATCTTTTTGCTTATTAAAAAAAAAGTAACTGCAACAAGAGGATGATCCAGTGAAACAATAAAAAAGTCTTGATGGGTGAATCCACTTTTGTGGAAGTCTTTAATTTAGCTACATTGATAAACATCAGTACTACCAGATGCTGCTGAGTTGATTGCTGCTCATGGCAACCCCATGTGTGTCAGAGTAGAACTGTGCTCCACAGGGTTTTCAATGGCTGATTTTTTGGAATTAGATCTCCAGGCCTTTCTTCCCAGGCACCTGTGAGTGGAATTGAACCTCCTACCAAGGTTAACCAAGCTGAGCAGGTTAACTGTTTGCACCACTGAGGGTCTCCATTGATAAACTAGGTATGCCCAGTTACCCTCCAGCACTGAAGCCCACTAAGTGCTGAAAACTCTCTAGCCTTTGTCTTTTTTATCCCATCAGCTTTTGAATGGTGCAAATTTTTTAATTTAAAATTTAACTCATTGTTTTTAGGCAGCAAAACAAGAACTTGAGCGACAACGTCGTTTAGAATGGGAGAGAATTCGTCGACAAGAGCTTCTCAATCAAAGGAATAGAGAACAGGAAGAAATTGTCAGGTTAAACTCCAAAAAGAAGAGTCTTCATCTTGAGTTGGAAGCACTGGTATGGCTAAAGTTTAAGTGACATTTACCTGGAAGAAGTTAGAATTACCTGTTGAAAATGTTGTTTTTAAAATATCTCATAAATAAACTGTGTATATAATTCAGTACTCGTATTTTCATATGTGCTTTTAACAGACTGGCCAGTGTAATTTATTGAAAAAGGATAGGGGCTCAAAATGCTGAGAATTTGGTTGTAGTTTTCAGTTATGATGCTGATTCACCGAGTACTCTTGGGCAAGACGTTTCTCTTATCCATGCTTCTGTTTGGCCATCTGAAAAATAAAGGCTTGCACTAACTCAGTAATTTCATTTTCAAATTGGTCTCTGGAAGATGACCTTTAGAGGGGTAACCAGAAGGTGGGAGAGAGGAAGCCAAGGCAGCAAGACAGCGCTCTCCTCTCCCCCAGCTTCTCTGGGCCCCCAGCTTCTCCCCCACCAACCCCCCATTTCACAGCAGGGAAGTTTGACATTTACCTGCTTTACTTTTACTGGGATTTTATCTAAGATTTGTGTGAGGGGAAAAAAAAGGTTTTTTTGCTAAAAAGAAAAATGATTTAAAACTGCCAACCTAAATTCCTTCCAATTCTTTGAGTCTGTGGTAGTTAGCTAATATTAGCTACTAGACTTATCAGTTTTTACATACCAGATTTCAGAAGGCCAAGTCATTAAAAGATTTTGTTTGAAATACAAAGTGAAAAGACATAAAGGATCGGAATAGGACATAGCATTTTGCTACTACCCTAAAATACCACAGGCCTGACCCCATAGCAAAGTCTTCTCCCAAAGAGTTCTTCACAACTATTGTCGGGTTTTGCAAAAATGCATGTGTAGCGCCCCCAGACACCCTTATAGCTTAGTAATATTATAAATTAATGGCTTCATACGCCTTGTAAATGCTGAATTCAGAAAAATACTCAGTGTGTTATGTTTGTGTTTTCTCAACATATAGGCTTTTGTGCTTTGAGAATGGTTGTGTTTCCTGCCAATAACTGTCTTGAGTTCAACAGACGTAACTAAAATATACTCTGCTTAATTTTAGACATTTATCTCGGACTGAGTACAAATGATCAGTGACATTTTAAAAATGTAACTAAATAAAAATATTATTCTCCTGATACGAACATTTCCTGTTGGCATTTTATATTACCGTATATTTATATGATCTTCCTACAGAACGGCAAACATCAACAGATCTCAGGCCGACTTCAAGATGTCCGACTCAGAAAGCAAACACAGAAAACTGAGCTGGAAGTTCTAGATAAGCAGTGTGACCTGGAAATTATGGAAATCAAGCAACTCCAACAAGAACTTCAGGTTAGTCCTTTGCTGCTGAATGTCCTTAAATGTGTGCAGTTATTAACAACTGCCTAGCAGAGTGCTTTTTCACTCTTGGGGCTTTGAACCCCTTGCATCTCTGATGGACTTCCTTCCTAGAAGGATGCAAATAAACACAATTCTGTATCTAATACCAGGAAACCTACTGACCCCCTAAAACTCTGCTCCAGATATCTGGTAAGGTCTGCTCAATATTAGTACCTAAAGCCAAGTTTATCACTTTGCGTTTTAACCCTTTAATAAAATGTGTATATCCTTATACATTAAAACATGATCATTGCTAATAATTTTAGGAAATTTTGACCTAAAGTTATTCTTTTCAGAATTGTGGTAAGAATGTTGAATATATCCCTCAGGGACCTGATAATTCTGCTCTTTACTTGTGAAATAAGGTCTGGTTTAGTATTATTGCTTGCAGAATAGGGGCTCCGGAAGCATTCTGCATCTCTAGAGTCTCCTTCCCAAATTTCTCTTACTGTATGGATTGGCAGTTAATCAGTCTTCATTTTGTCACAGCAGAATAGACAAAGGCCAAATAACATTTCCTATCTGATTTAAACCTGCTTCCATAGCTATCCCTGCATTTTAGGTCCTCTTTGGGATACTCTCATTTGTTCTAGAGGGTCACGGCCTGCTTAGATATACCATTCAGTGCAGATGGTATAACCAGAGGCACCTCTTAGCCTGTCCCTGCTCTCATCCATCGGCATGCTGAGAAATCGTAAGGCTTCAAGACATGCCCCAGTTACAAAAGCTTTCTTCACCATCTTTTAATTTCAGCCAGTCTTTCATAAATGGATTTATGTGTAAATATTTGTATTTTTAATCATATGTAATTTCATTCTAGTTTATGAATAAGTTGTAAGCCTTTTACAGTTATGTATCATTCCTATGCTAGGTTTCAAGAGTAATTAAGTCATGTTTTTAAGTTTTCAAAGAATTTTGGTAAACATTACAGAATTTAATCAGATACTACTTTTTCTTTTTATAAGGAATACCAAAATAAGCTTATCTGTTTGGTACCTGAGAAGCAATTATTAAATGAAAGAATTAAAAACATGCAGCTTGATAACACTCCTGGTAAGTCTCTAACGTTTGTTTTGCCTCTTTTATTCTTTTCTGAGTGACTCTATCAGTCATATTCTGTTACTTTCAAAAATGGCCTTATTCTGTCATCAGTGACATTTTTTACTTATAAGTTAAAAATGTCAAAATAATATGAAAAATATTATCACAGATGGTACAGTATTTTTAAGTCCATATTTTAGCACAATGGTATAAGTAATAAATCGTGTTATACCTTTCTATTTTGATAATATTTTTATTTATGTTACTCAAATATCAACCAAATGTTAGACTGTCATTAAACAATGTCTAAATTTGGCTCTACCACAAGACTACATGTACATTTTGGCAAAACTGCACTAATTGTAGAGAACCTGTTCCGGAAAAGCCCTTACTGTGGGGCCAAGCCTGTAAGATGCTAGGGTGAGCAGTACAGCACTGGCATGCCTAAGAGAGTGCTGTGCCCCTCCCAGGCCCTTTATATTGTCTAACTCTGTGGTTCGTACAATGAATTTTACCAACTTGGCCCTCTGACATCACTAGAACTAGAACAAAACATTCCAAGATAATTTGTGGGAGTGTAATATTTTCTTGACTCAAGTCCCAGCCAGAAAACTGGAAAAAGAAAATCTCTACATTGAATAGCATACCGGTAACAATGTAACAAACAAAAAGTTTAAAGAAAAGTAAATCTGCAAATGCTGTGTTAGAACTGGCTAATGAAAGTATCCTAAATGTTTCGTATGGAGTATTTGTCAGTCTTTCCATGTGAGGGCTCTTTATTACACTATCGGCTATTTAGGAAGTCCAGTAAATATTGTCCTTCTTTGCTCAAGTTCTGAACAAATTAAAAAATAAGACAAAGGAACAAGGCATATGGGAGACCAAAATTTCACATCATTATTGATAAAGCTGATGTTGGAGAGTATGGTTTATCTGTGAGTACCAGAACTGCCCTGTAAAACTTGGGGTGTGTGAACAAAACAATTCTGAAGGCTTCTCGTGGGTAGCTCAGTCTCAAGAATGTAAGAGATAGGAAGGTACCAGGCTGTGCTTGCCAGGTCCTTATCCTGAGCTCACCAAGTAGTGAAGAGGTGGAAAGAAGCTGGGACTGTTGTGCTAGTTAAGCGTCTTCTCATGGGGAAAGAAAAACCAGAAATAGAAAAGTTTACCCTTGTGAAATTACTATGTTTATCGCCTTCCACCAGTGTGGTCTGTCCATGTCTCTTCTCAAACAGTCTCCCTTGCACCTGCTTCTTCTCTTGGCTGTTCAAAGTATATCAGCCCTGCCGCCCTCCATAGGAATTCCAGGCAGGATGAACCAATCCTCCCAATTTGTGCAGTGGCAGAAAACATATCATCATCCTCATCGCTGTTGTTACTATTTAGATTGAGAGTGGAATGTGGGCTATGTCTTATTGAGGGACCTGATGGAACTACCCTTTCTTTGTGGAATGTTATCCAATTCCGCTGTTATTCTTTTGATATAGTCCAATTCAAAATAGGAAGCTTTTGTTTGGGATTTGAAAAACTCCTTGCATCACTCAGATTCCTTTCTCAGGATTCTCAGCCAAGTGCTAAGCACTATGCTAGGCAGTTTTCATGCATTATTTCCTTTAATCTTTACGACAGCCTTGTGAGGTAGTGGTTGTTATTCCCGTTGTGCAGCCAAGGAAAACTGAGGCTCAGAGAGATTAAATAATTGCCTAAGATGGTACAATGGTAGTACGTAAATTCAAGTCTGTCTCTAATTCAGAACCATGAGGACTCTAAAGCCTACTGTGCTACCACGTTGTCACGTGTATACAGTGCTTATATACATAATTGAATTCAGGGTTAAAACATCCATTATTAGTGATGTTCATTTTGAAGAGTGCTAAAAATGAATAATAATTAATTATTTTACATTGTCTGTCTCCCCAACTAAATTAGACTCTGAACTATTTGAGAATACAACCCATGCCTTATTCTTCCTTATTTACCTGACATTGCACGTAGCACATTGTTTAATGTTTAAATATATATTGAAATACTGGAAAACTATTAGAATTATAAGAGATTTTAGCAAAGTGCCTGAATACAAAGTCAGCATGTAAAAATCTATGGCTTCATATTGTAATCAAACTGGCCAAAACCAAAGATAGAGAATTTTAAGAGTGGCTAGGGATAAACGAAAAGTCATCTGCAAAGGAGAGTCAGTAAGACTAAGCTCGGATTACTCAGCAGAAACCTTGCAGGCAAGAAGGCAATGGGATGACATATGTAAAGCCTTGAAGGAAAAAAATCGCCTGCCAAGAATTATATATCCAGCAAAACTCCCTCTCAAATATGATGGTGAAATTAGGGCATTTCCAGATAAACAGAAGTTTAGAGCATTTCCAAAAACCAAACCAAAGTTACAAGAAATACTAAAGGGAGTCCTACGGTTAGAAAATCAGTAACATTAGATAACAACTGAAGACTGGAACACAAGACAGAACAACCAGATATAAACCCAGATAGGGAAGTCACAAAAATAAAGCTAAAACACTGAAAATAGGGAAACAGAGACATCAATATGTAAAAGATGACAACATTAAAACAAAAAAGAGGGAGTAAATAATGTAGTTATAGATCTTTCATATGGAGAGGAAGTCAAGGCTATACAAAGAAATAAAAGAGGGATTTAAACTTAGAAAAATAGGGGTAAATACTAAGGTAACCACAAAGGAAACTAACAATCCTACACATCAAAATAAAAATGAAGAAAAACATAAAGACTCAGCAAATACAAAATCAACAACAGTGAAAAAGATGAAAAGAAAATGCATAAAGAAAAACGACTTAGCGCAGAAAATTAAGTGGAACAAAGAAACTGTCAACAACACATAAAAAAAGACATCAAAATGACAGCACTAAACTCAGACCTATCAATAATTACGTCAAATATAAATGGGATAAATGCACCAATAAAGGGACAGAGAGGCAGAATGGATTAAAAAAAACACGATCCATCTATATGCTGCCTACAAGAGACACACCTTAGGCTTGAGGACACAAACAAACTAAAACTCAAAGGATGGAAAAAAATATATCAAGCAGACAACAATCAAAAAACAGCAGGAGTGGCAATATTAATCTCTGACAAAATAGTTAAAGCAAAATCCACCACAAAGGATAAGGAAGGACACTATATAATGATTAAAGGGTCACTACGCCAGAAGGACATAACTATAATAAATATTTATGCACCCAATGACAGGGCTCCAAAATACATAAAACAAACTGACAGCACTGAAAAGAGAGATAGACAGCTCCACAGTAATAGTAGGAGACTTCAACACACCACTTTCAGTGAACGACAGAACATCAGAAAGAAGCTCAGTAAAGACACAGAAGATCTAAATGCCACAGTCAACCGACTTGATCTCATAGACATATACAGAACACTCCATCCAACAGCAGCAAGTATACTTTCTTTTCCAATGCACATGCAGCATTCTCCAGAAAAGGCCACATATTAGGCCACAAAGCAAGCCTTAACAGAATCCAGAACAACGAAATATTACAAAGCATCTTTTCTGACCATAAAGCCGTAAAAGTAGAAATCAATAACAGATAAAAACAAGGAAAACAAATCAAATACATAGAAACTGAACAACACCTTGTTCAAAAACTACTGGGTTATACGAGAAATTAAGGACAGAATAAAAAAATTCACAGAATCAAATGAGAATGAAGACACGTCCTACCAGAACCTTTGAGACACAGCAAAAGCAGTGCTCTGGGGTCAGTTTATAGCAATAAATGCACACATCCAAAAAGAAGAAAGCATCAAAATCAAAACATTAACCCTGCAACTCGAACAAGTAGAAAAAGAGCAGCAAGAGAAGCTCTCGGGCATCAGAAGAAAGCAAATAATAAAAATTAGAACAGAATTAAATAGAGAATAGAAAAACAGTTGAAAGAGTTAAGAAGACCAAAAACTGGTTCTTTGAAAAGATCAACAAAATCAATAAACCTTTGGCCAAACTGATGAAAAACAGGAGAGGAAGCAAATAACCTGAATAAGAAATGAGATGGGTGATATCACAACAGACCCAACTGAAATTAAAAGTATCATAACAGAATACTATGAAAAATTGTACTCCAACAAATTTGAAAACCTAGAGGAAATGGACAAATTTCTAGAAACACGCTGCCTACCTAAACTAACACAAACAGAGGTAGAACAACTAAATAAACCTGTAACAAAAGAAAATATTGAAAAAGTAATTTAAAAACTCCCAACAAAAAAAAAGTTCTGGCCCTGATGGCTTCACTGGAGAATTGTACCAAATTTTCAGACAAGAGTTAACACCACTACTTCTAAGGTATTTTAGAGTATAGAACAGGATGGAATATTCCCAAACTCATTCTATGAAGCCAGCATAACGCTGATACCAAAACCAGGTAAAAAGACCACAAAAAAAGAATATTACAGACCGGTATCCCTCATAGAACAATGAAAACAGAATAGAGAGTCTAGCAACAGCCTTGTATATAAATGGCTATTTAGGGTAAGATAAACTTGGCAGTTAGCATCAGTGGGAAAAGCATGAGCTTTCAGTAAGTTTCTGTTAAAATTTAAAGTGTACGTATCCTCTTACAGAGCAATTTTCACCTCCTAACCTGTTTTGAGTCAAGTCTGTTCTGACTCATAGTGACCTTATACAGTACTCATAAAATACTTGCACGTGTGCATTAAAATGGATGTGCAAGGATATTTATTGCAGCATTTTTATGTAATGGTAGAGAATTAGAAACAACGTAAACGTAGTCAGAAAGAGAATGGTGACATAAAGTGTGGGAATAGCCATAATGTAGACTCCTGTGGAGCAGTTTTGAAGAATGAGCTAGGTCTGTATGTCCTGATTGATAAGATGTGTTGTTAAGTTTAAAACAAGCTACAAAGCGGTATAGACAGTATGATCCCATTAAAACCCCATGGAAATAAAAGTTAAATATATACATATTTAAATATAAATGCATAAGGG